GTGTTGGCAGCTTTTTAGTTCCTTCTCTTCAACTTCCAAATCAGGACCTGCACATCCTTGCTGCTCCCAGCCTTGGTAAGGGAGCCTCAGTCTTGCGTGTCCTTGTGGGAGTTTGGTCAACCTGGTCTCAGCATTCTTCAGCGCTAAGAACAGCAGAGTTATCCTTGCTCAGTGTTATCACTCAGTTATCCTTGCTCACTGTTTTCACTGATCAGCAGCCCGTCCTTGCTCCACTGAACAGCAAACTCTCCTTGCTCAGCCCTTCACTGACAAACTTACAAGCCTGCTTAGGCTGAGAGCCCTGCTACAGATGTCTGTGAGAGAAGTGATCTAAGGTAAAATTGGGACATGGATGGATATTTCTTTTAGTCTTTGCTAGTGTGCCATTTTCATGTAATTGAGAATCTAATTTATTCTTGGGTTCTTATGTATTAAAGCTGCACCTCAGATTTCATTTTATTCTCAAGTGTGAGAGAGCAGGGTTTGAGCTGAATTCCTTCTGGTGAGTGATTCTAGGTATCACATCTTGCCAAATAGGATCCCATTGTCACCTCACAGTCTATGTGCATTCTGTGTGCTTTACTTCTATTACTAGGCCATCTCAGATGATTCAAATATTTACCCCTTTATCCTTTTTAATGCAGGATTTGTCTTCAACCCTTCCCCCAATGAGTTGCATGTTTTGCTTCTGTTCTGCTGCTCTGTGAATTCATTGTTTGCAGGCTGGCAAGGCACCAGTTTTGGTGTGACAGATGGAGCAGACTGCAAACCAGGCAGTTGCCTCCTAGCCTGAATGATATTTTAATAAGCACCGAGAGGTGACAGAAAGAGAAGCTGCTCACTGGAATGACTGGCAGTTTTGTTTCCAGCCTGAAAGCACTAATAGATAATTTTTGGCCTCAATCCAAAAAAAAAAATTAGCAGAAAATCCTATTAGCTCCTAACTTTTTTAGGGGTCAAAGAAGTTTTTATGTCTAATCTGCTATCCATTTAGGGAGTTGTTTCCCTATTTTTGGTATTTCAGTTCTCTCTCAGAAATTGTACACTTTAGGAGAGTTTCCTTTTACTTACCATTTTGTTTTCCTTCTTTTTTTTATTACTTGAGCAATTTTCTCCATTGTCTTCCTTCCCTAAACATTCCTTCTTCTTCATATTTCTGTATACTTTTCACAGATTCATGTTGGAATAATGGAATCTAACAGCTTACTTGGCTTCCAGCTTCCACATCCTGTGAAACAACTACTGCACTGCGAGGCAATGGCATCTGCATGGGAATCTCTAGAGCATATGTCCTCTTCTCCCTGCCCTCCAGCTGTGTCTCCATTGTATAATACAGGGTTTGTGTAGGGCTTTGTTTCATCCTTGGTCTTATGAATAAAAAAAGGCACAACAAAAGGGAGCTCTGGCAAATCCCCAGCAGGCTCTGAGATCCCTCTGCAGTGTGAGCAACATGGTGTTTTGCAGTCAAGCTGTAGGATAGTCAGGCTTTCAAAGAAGAAGATGCTTTTTCTTCCACAAGAACAGGTTAAAAATGGTCCAGCTCTCACTAGGAAAATATAAAAGTGGTGCTGGGATCTGAACTATGGTGTGGTCCCATACACTGCTCAAAAAACACACTGGAAATTTCTCAATATTTGGACATGGATCTTCATGTTTATTTAGCAATATTCAAGTCTGGATTTCAACTCATTTGTGAGCTGTAAATTAATGCTATTCCTGCTAAAATATGCTTCTTTTTTCTTCCAGATACAATGATGACACTGAACGTTCAGATCATCTTTGGCCTCCTTTGCTGCATGATTTTTCTTCCTACAGATGGCTTCCCAGCAGACACCAGTACTGAATTTCGCTCTGCCTTCTCTGTGGCCAGAACCAGCAGCATGGAAGGAAGCTCTGAGATGGTGATTACCTTTGACAAAGTATATGTGAATATTGGCAATGATTTTGACCCCAAGACTGGACTGTTCCGCTGCCGGATCCCAGGAGCCTACTACTTTTCCTTCACCGTTGGGAAATACCCAAAGAAAAACTTGTCTGTCATGCTGATGAGAAACAAGAATGAGGTGCAGGTAATTGTGTATGATGAACATCACCGCAAGGAGCGCAAGGTGGCCAGCCAGAGTGCCATGCTGCAGCTTGACTACGGGGACACAGTGTGGCTGCGTTTACACGGAGATCCCAAGTACGCTCTTTACAGCAATGTGGGGCCCTATACAACTTTCAATGGCTACCTGATCTATCCAGACACTTCTGCCTTCTTCCAGAATGCTCTTGACTCTCAAGAGCTCGGACCACACCCTCACACAATTCAGCAGCTCCCCAGAGAGCAGAATGAAGCCTCACAGCAACGCGTGTTGTCTGACCAGCCAAAGAGGGTACAAGACCCTCGCTCTGCATTTTCTGTTGCCCGCTCACAAAGTCTCCTGGGGACAGATGAGAAGCAAACCCAGCATGAGCCAATCACATTTGATACAGAGTTTGTGAATATTGGAAAAGATTTCAATGCCTCCACTGGCATCTTCACGTGCCGTATACCTGGTGCATACTATTTCTCCTTCACCATTGGCAAAATGCCCTTTAAGACTATGTCAGTGAAGCTGATGAAGAACCACAATGAGGTGCAGGCCATGATCTATGATGACAACCACTCCAAGCGACGGGAGATGCAGAGCCAGAGCATCATGCTGCCTCTGCAATACGGGGACACCGTTTGGCTCTACAGCCATCAGCATGATGGCTACGGTGCCTACAGCAACCACGGCAAGTACATCACCTTCACAGGCTTCCTCATCTATTCAGAGGCTCAGCCAAAGTGGCTGCCAGGTGCCAGCTCACCTCAAGGGTCAAACAATTAAATGCAGATGTGAAAGGAGCATAAGAAGAGCCAAGGTGCCATGAACTTGGGTATAGCTTCTCTGAATATCATCCTCTACTTTGAGCATGCTGTCATGTGTCCAGTGCTTTCCTTACGCTGCACGCTTGTGCCCTGTCTGCAGGGCCTCTGCTGTGTGTGCCATTCATCCATAGAGAGGCCTTTCAGGTTGTAGCTGTGTGTCCCGTGTTGGTGTTTGATTTAACATAAAGCATGAGGTAGTTTTGGGGCAGGGAGGGCACTGTAGTGAGATGCTGAGGATCAGAGAACTACTGCAGTCATGTTACTGCAGATCTCCAGCATCCAGAGAGCAAAGGGTGTGGTGGCTTTCCTTGTTTATCCAGGGAGGGAATAAATGTAATGAAAATGAATGTAATAAAAATACAAAATATGAGAATGTTCTCAGTTTGGAAGTTTTGCTACTTTGTGAGACTTGCGTGCTTGTCACTGGCTGAGGTACCAGCCAGTACGGAGCTCAGGTGAGAGAGATGCATGGAGACTGTGTGGGCTGATGATATGTTACTGAGCCAGTCTGTCTGTGTACACTCTTAAATCATTTGTGTGTGTGTGTGAACGGCTGGTACCTCCTATGGTTTTACTGCAAGTTTGACAGTGGTTTGTGCTTTTCTTTATCTGATGTAGATGAAGTCAAGAAGCTGCGGTTGAGAATCTCAGCTTCCGTTTAATGTAAAGAATACATTTAGAAACAAACAAACAAAAGTGCAGGCTTCTTGTAGTGAAAGATAAGGGCTCAAATGTGTGAATGGACCATGCTCAGAAAGCCCAGAAGCAAGGTAAGAAGAATAAGAAATGTGTTTTAAATCTGTAAAGATTTGGATCAGGAGCAGGCTCGTAACACCAAGTGTGAGTAGTAGCACACAGCAGTGGCACTGCTGACCGCAGGGGCGATACCTTCCCCAGGAATGAGCCCCTTGAACACGGGGGTGCTGCTAGCCCACCACGTGCTGCACTGCAAGCCTCCTGCAGGCGGGGTCAGAGGAATCGCGGGGGAGGTTTTCAGCATCCATGTTCCAGAGGTTTCGTATGTGCCGAGTTCCAGCGAGAGTTTTCCCTGTGGAGAGGCTGCTGTGTTCCTACAGCCTGACAAACAGAGGGGCGGGCGCCCGGCGGGATCTGCTGAGGAGGTAGTGGGAGCACAGGAAGCTTCATCGTAGCGCCACTGGTGCTGTTTCAGTTGAGCTAAACCCTGGTTTGTACCCCAAAAATACATAAACTGCAAAAGTGCATCATCTTAAGCATCTACAAAGCTTCATGACATCACTTCAGTGTACTTTATAATCCGTTCAACAGGCAGCAATGCTCTAAAACTGCTCCTAACAAAATCCTGAGTTCAAAGCAGTGTGTTGGCATCTGAGTCACAAGCCATCCTACTCAGCCTTTTTCCATACATCCGTATGGCTCGGGCTGTACATTCTCCAACAAGACAGTATTTTCATGCACTAGTGCCGTCTCAGCTCAGCTTTTTGATGATACTCTGCTCAAAATTGGCTTGAGTGCAGCCACTCACTGCCTCTGTCACTCCATACATATCCTAGACATTAAAGACTGGGGGCATATTTGGCAAAAGGGTGAAGGGTAAAGACTGGAAGTATGGAAAAAACTAGTTTAAGAATAACAGAACATTAGATGAGACAAGAAGTTTTACTTCAAGTAAAATTATAATTTTAATTCCTATATCCTTTGGGGTGAAAAACAAGCAAAGAAACAAACAAAAAGAACCCCATAGCACAAACCAAAATTAAACAAGCAAAACAAAAATCCAGCAACAAAAACCCTGCTTTAAATCTATCTCCTTCTGTCATAACCCTAAGCTGACCTCTAAAACCATTGTCTGCAGCATCTTGCTTCCAGGCTTCTTGTTCCTGCCTTACTATTTCCCCTCTCCATCTGTTGGGCTACAATGGCTTGGAATAAGATTAACTAGGTCAGAAGCTGCAGTTCCCACTTTGAAGGTCGCACATGCCTCTTCTGTCGAACATGGAAAAATTATATTGATAGAAAGGGAATTATGGATCCCATTGTCTAAGCACATGCAAGGAATGTTCAAAATTGATACCTATAGTAGTAGCAGGAAATCTGATAGAAACAAGCACCAAAAGCAAAACCCTCCTGAGGAGATAATTACATTTATTTAATTCCACAACACAGTGTTTAAGACAGACAAATGTTAATGATGTCTTTCTGTAAAATAATTACATTTCTGATTTTGAGGATAGAGACTATGCATTTATTATGTTTGGCTTGAAAAATGCCATGGCTGTAAAAAAAAAAAAACTTTATAGAAGAGAGGCAAAATCTGCTGAAGAAATAACTAGGTCAGGATCCTTCAGAATTTTAATGAGATTTCAGGAAGTATATTCCAAAATGATAACTGAAACAAAGCTGTGTGTATGTGTAAATATGATATGCAAATACTAGAAAGCTTCATGGAATACATACAATTTCAGGTTGTTTTTTGAAGAAAAATGAATACATGAGATGGGAAATTGCTGTTGACACATAAAATATGATGGCACATAAAGAGAAAAATGAAATTAAATATGTGACCTATATAATGAAGCACAACAAAACCTGCTTAGTTGCTGCTGGAGAGAAGATCTTTTATTTGTCTGAAACCACAGGGAGAATATAAGGAGAGAGAACTGAATTATCTGAAATGAAGATAATGCTGATCCAGCATAATATCCTGGAAAAATACTTCCATGCCATCTCTCCTAAGTGATCAAGATAGATAAGACATCTAAATAGCACTGCCCCTTCAGCACAGCCCACTTAGCAAAAAATCAGAAAAGGGAGAAATGCTCTTTACAGTTTTGTCCTTTTTTTCATTTAAAAATAAAAGCTTGTGCATAAATCCTGAGAGGGTGGCCAGCACTGTGTAGAAAGCAGGACAAAAAGGTGTGGCATATTTATTCAAAGTCCTGCACACTGTGGAAAGCATTGAAAATAACCAAGGAGGCAGCTGAAGCCAGGTGTGCCCTTTCCTATGGAGGGTTCCCTCATTAAGTGTCTCTCTTGGTCCTGGCCAGGTTAGAGCGATAGAAATGTTTCAGGGATGCTAAATGTGAAGGTTTGTCCTTCCAAGGCCAGGACGCCTGGAGGAGAGTGGAATTTGCAGGGCAGAGCCCCTTGCACAGGTCACGAAAGATTTCATCAACCAGCTGAGAGAAAAAGCCAATCCAGGGGTTTTTATCCAGACCCTGCACGGAGCGAACCTGATAGGCACTGTAAACACTGGTGAAAAGGAGACGGTCAAACTCCGTCGGAGGCAAGGGAGTATCGGTCAGTGAATAATATCTCAGATGCTGCTCAATCTCTGCCGGTGTTTTGGGAACTTCCTCCTCTAAAATCTGCAGGAAGCGCCGTGCCGGGCGTAGGGAGGCCAGCTCTTCATCCCGCAGGCGGATTGTCCCGTTGGCCTGAATATCCAGCCTTCCCCAGAGCATCTGGAAGAGGGGAGCAGCGCTGTCACGGAAAGCCCAGCACAACTCCATCACTCCCGGGCGCGCTGCGAGCAAAGCGCTCCGCAGCGCTGCCAGACAAACCTCGGGCGGGCCCAGAGGCGGCCGCTCCCTCACGGCCGGCCTGGTCCCACTCCATGTCCCTCCCTCTCTGCCAGCCCCAGGCCCCGTTTCTGAGCAGCCCCACACCTCGTTTCCCAGTGGGACCAGTGCAGCTCTTGCCCCCATCCCTGCTGTCCCCCCCGCAGTCCCGCCTGCAGCACTCCCCGGTGCGGCCGCTCGGGCGGGGGCTTGGCCGCCTGCGGGGCCGCCACCAGAGCCGGCGGGGAGGGCCCCTTGTGCCTCCGCGGGCACCCCGTGAGGGCCGCGGCTGGGGCACGGCCACCCCGGGCTGCACCCCGCAGCGGGCGGGAGCACGAATGCCATTAGGCACCGCCGAGGCGTTCTCCGGGAGCTCCTGGAACCCGTCAGGGGTGAGAACAAACAGAACGGGTGAGTTTTTACGTGCAGGCAGGTGGGAGCATGGGCACGAACAGTGCCTCGGCCCAGGGCCCCCAGTGCTCAGGAGACCTCTAACATGATGCCAGCGTCCTCTGGGCCCCGACGGGCTCTGTTGGTGCCGCTGTGAGGGTGTTCATCTGGAAGACATCAGACAGAGCTTGGTAGCACAAGACCTTCCTGTTTACTGTTTTTGTCATTCGATTGTCAATAACGACTTCAACATTCCTGAGCTACCACTCAGCTTGCCAAATATGACAGATGCTGACCACGGGATTTTGATAAGCAAAACAAGCTTTTTAAGAGAAGCAGCAGTGGTTGAGGCGAGGTTTTGGATATCACCGCCCTTAGTGCTGCCAGCAGAGCTAAAGCATACAGCAGCAAAGGCGCTGCTTTGACAGGCAGCAAGGATGCCTCTCACACTGAGAATGGATGGGGTTTGAGCCGATGGGTTTGGCTGGTTAGCAGTTTTTGCTGGAGAAAGTAATGCTGCCCAATGAAAGGAGTGTGCTGGCAGGCTCTTCAAGCTGCTGCTAGAAACACAGACTGATGCTTATCCTGGTTTTCTACTTCTTCCCTAAGATTCTGCCGCTGGAAGAGTGTGAGGATAAAAGAAACCTTGTCACATCCAGCTAATTACTTGCTGGAACACATGACATCATGTAATTTGGGGAAAATAGGTATGAGACCAGAAGAGTGGCAGTTTTTGAATATGAAAGTCACATTAATCCTAAGAATTGTTCGATTTTCATTTCCTAATATTTACAGTGCTTTAACCATCTGCATTTATTTTATTTCTTTTCTTGTGTGTGTATGAAAAATGAGACACAAGCAGTCTTGGTCCAGGTCTGTGAGAGAGAGGCTGCATCCCTCCCTCCTCTGTGTTATCAGTGCCATGAGGTAGCCAGGACCCTCTTCTACTTCTTACAGACTCATCCTTCAGGTTAAGAAACATGAATTTGAAAAAGCTCATACAAAATAGTAAGCTCTCTAATATATTCATGGTGGGTTTTTTAATATTTTTAAATGGATGAAGGCTTTTTCATATATATATATTTTTAAAAAAGAGGATTTACATTGAATACTCCAGAGTTAAAGTCAACAGGTGCATATGAAAAGTAGAAAAATTATTTAGTACTATACATGTGTGATGACTGGTACCAAAAGACACTTCCAAATCTCCATTTTTGATTGGACCTTTTCAGGGAGATGCACGAGCTGCGTGGAGAAGTGCACTGCCAGCCCACAGCTGCAGAGGTTTGTTTCTCTGCACAGCTGCAGGCTGTGTGATCCAAGCCAGCTGTGGCTTTGGAATGTGAGCTGAGATGTAGCTGCTTTTTCCTACTCCTCCACAGATGTACCAGCAAGGCTTTTAGCTCAGGTGAAAGCATTATATCATCTGAAAATTTCTTTGGTGGCACTATCTGCAGTAACCTATGCTCTCGGCTCACAGATCCCCCTCCTGAGAGATGTCTGACTGGCTGCAAAGTCAGTGCTTTTGTTGAACAGATGCCAGACTGCCTTTAGAAGTAACTGCCTCATAAATATTTTTGAGTAGAGAAAAATTTAACAAAGCATAACAAATAATGTATTGAAATAATAACATAAGTATCCTCTGGGGAAGGGAAAATCCTTACTTATTTTATCACTCAACAGGGTTGAGTGGGGTTTTGTTTCCCAAAAAGCATATAAAAAACCCACAAACAGTATTGCAGGAGATTATTTTTTCAGCAAAGATCCAAGAAAATCCTCCCCTTGCCACCAAACACAGCAGCAGATCTTCAGCCTGCAAGGAGGTAGCAGTGCCCCCACCAGCCAACCCCCCCAGCTGGACTCCAGCTCTATCCCGTGCCAGCGCAGCTGCCTGAAGCCTCGGGCCACTTTTGAAGGAGCAGCAAAGCATCACACAAACGGCGTTGCACAAAGGTTTGCCAAGCCAAGGAGCCGTGTCCCTAACAGATGTGCTCCCTACCTGTCAGCCTCTGGGATGCAGCGAACAAGCACAGGAGCAGCCAGGAGCTGAGCTGTGCCTGGGCCATGGCAGCGCTGCCGAGCAGCTGCCACCCTCTCCGCGACAGTGCCGCGCCCCAAGCCACAGCAGCTCGCCTGGGGCGTCTTCCCGTGCTGCTTCGGATCCCAGCAGCCTCTCTTGGAATGGTCCCATCTTTCTGTGTTTCTGGTCACAGCCCTGGGAAGGGCTTGCAGTTCAACTTGTTGACCCCGAAGGATATTTTCCGTCATATTTTGGAAACTTGGAAAACTTTGTTGTGATGTTTTTGGCAGAATTGTTTAAGCTTCCTTTTAAAAGGTCGACTTTCTGCTGCAATGGTTATAGGAAGCTTTTCATTGCAAGAAATTCCACTATATATGTTTTCCTCTTAAGAAGTGAGGACCCCCTAGTCCCTTCCATCTCTACACAGTGACTCTGTCACATTTCAGTTTTCCTTTTTCCTGGGTTCAAAAATCTGAAAACAGTCCTGGAATGTCACAAACAGATAAAGCTAGCAGACTGCAGATTCATGGAAGGGCAGTAGCAGCCAAAACATACAAACAGGCAGAAGAAAAGTCACTGGTTCAGTTCTGTATCAAACCCCCGGAGGGAGAACTCAGTACAGTGACCTAACAAACACCAAGTATCAAAGTGGCTCAGGCTTTAGCACCCCATCATCCTCTCCTGTGAGTGGACTTCTGGGTTACAGTGAGCACAGTCTGCCTTAGGTGTTCTAAATGACACGGACAAAACTTCATTTGATTCACTTTACAGCAGGTATCTGTTCTCTACACGCCTTTACATATTTATTAGTGCCAAGTCCCCAGTCAAACTGTTCTGTGTTTCTGTTCTGTATTTCTACTCTCTATGGCACAGAATGTAAAGCCAGGGTTATACAAATATGCAGTAACATGTATAAATGAGGACTAATAGCCTCTCTCTTAGGTTAAAGGGAGAAGTCTGCCTAGAAAAGAGAGAAGGTGAAGCTGAAATGCATCTCTTGCTCAGCAAGCTACCGGACATCAGTCAGGACATACTGTCACCAGATAGTGCACTAAGGGCTGGGATTAGGTCCTGCTTGCTATTACCTCCTGCACATAATGGAAGAGCCACAGAGGGGCCCGCAATATCCAGAGCCACTCTTCCCCTCAGTTTGGATTCAAAGCAAGACCTGTGCTTTCTGTCATAGGCTTAGGTATCTGCAGGTCACACTGCACTGCTTTCATTTTTCATTATTTTCCACTGCTTACTCTTCACGTGTGTTCCTTTCTTCTTTTATTAAAGTGCATCACAAGCTGCCCAAGAGGCAGACACTTAGAGCCCATCTGTGCAGTGAGATTGATGTGCTTTCTGCTTTGTGCCAGAGTCCCTTTTAGGCCACAGGGTACACATGACTTTGTCTAGAAGCCACTGTGGAAAAACCCCTGTGTTTTGTGGGCCATGAAACAGCCACCCTTTTACTTGCAGCATATGAAATGAGGAAGATGATTGCCCAACAGGATTTTGGCCAACATCTGTGGGACCTGCACACGATTTTGTCAACTGGAGAATTTCCTAGGAACAGCTTGCAGCTGAAGTGCCTGGAAGAGGACAGCCACATTGGTGGAAGGGAGAGAGAGGAGGCTTGGGGGCTGTCCTCAGGTGACTGACACAGTGGCAGATAAGGGGCAAGTATCAGTGTGGGTGCTGCTTTGAGCCAGGGGGATTTTGTAGAATTACTTCACTATCCTGCAAAGAAAGACAATTTCAGAGTGATAAACGTATTCCTTAGCTGTTTGTACAGCAGCAATACTTGCTCAGAGACAAGGCTGAGTTTCTGACAGCTGCACAAAGTCCCTGCACGTACGACTGCAATTTTAGGCAGCGCACCTGCTCCTCCTGAAGGATTTTGTCCTTGCCAGGCACTCACAGCTGAGCACAGCCCTGCCACTCTGTGCTCCCCTGGCCATACCGTCTGTTGTTGGAGCAGTTTCAAAACGTCACAAGCCAGGTTTATGCAGGGACAACTTGATTGGTTTCTTCTTTTTCACCATGACCTCCTGAAGCAGGAGCATGGGAAATGAGAACAAGAGAAGAGGGGTCAAAAACTGCAGGAACTGGTTGGATGCTAATTGGGGCACAAGGTGTGGCACCAGAAGAGCCTCTTTAAGAGGGAAGTTTCTTTGAAGTAGGACTTCAGGGAGATAGCACATTCACAAAAGGGAAATTCTGCTTATAGAATTGAAGAAATCACTTGCTTCCATCATCTCACCCAGAACTTGTGGAGATTGCTCCCTAGCCTGGGGCTGTCTGGCAGACACCCAGAGAAGGAAGAAGATTGAAGAAAAAGAGGGGAAGGAAGAAGGACTTAGGTGGCTCACAGAAAAGGTGATGTTTGAATTACTGGAGTGGAAAAAGTAAGAAAACCTTGAGAGAAGCGGGAGTGAAGCACTGACTGTAACCAGACAGAACCTCTGTAATACTAGTATTTTCCAGGTATGGTGCTGCCAGTCCTTACAATGATGCTTTTCTTGTCCTTTGGTTTCAGTTTGTGAGCAGCATCTACTGCTTGAAGGAGTAATGAGCTGTGTAAAAGGGACAGGGAGGGCCCCATCCCACTGTACCTACAGCACATGAGGTAGGTGGACACCCTGACACTGTCAGTAGCCACATCCTCAGAGAGGGCAGTCTGCTTGCTTGGCTATAGGGAGAAATGCCAGAGTTCTGGAAAACACCAGCAAGACCTACTCAGCTGGAGAAACTCAATGTGGTGACTGTGAGTCGTCATCTAAAGTCTGTCTGTCCCTTCAGTACAAGAAAATCTCTCTTCTGTATGGTATGTCTGTAAGTCAGCTACATCTGACTTACATCTCATCCCACATCCTCCTGCATTAGGGAATCCAACCCAGGCAAGCAAACCCGGCTGAAACTGGCAATACGCAACAGGCAGGGACAGAGGATTTGGAAGACAGCTTTGTGCTTGGCCAAGTTGAATACAGCCTTGTCCAACACAAAGCAAGTGTCCACCAGCCACAAGAATCCCAGAGTGAGCAGGCTCCATGAGCAAAATGGCCTCTGGAGCTCAGGAGCAGTGGAGGAAGCGGAGTGCACAAGTATTCTGTGAGGCTGTGTAACCTCTTGTGCCCTGGGATAATGAGCCTGGGTGATGCAGCCCTTCCTGATCTCCCAGGCTTCACTAATGAGAAGAGATTCAGGTCCACTTGCAACTGTTCCACATATTGAAGACCTGCTGGAGCCAATGCCTGATCCCACAGGGCTGGCTATTTTTCCAGTACACACATTCTTGAGCAAACCTTGCATATTTTCTAACGTGACAGGCATCATGTCTGACATTTCTTGATGTCGATCAAGTTCTCCCTCTGCACAAACATTAATTTTAAAAGGCAAATTTCCTAGTGTTCCTGCTACCATCAGTCTGACTTATCATACTGGGAAATATGTATTTTTATAATATATAGACCATAAGTCTTGGTGTGGTGTCTTAAGCAACCTGAGATAAAGGAGAACATGGAGAGGAAATGTGATTTATAAAGAATTTTCATGGTGATAGAAGTAGTACCAGGAACTTTTGTCTTGCACAATAGGCATCAGCATGCTATGAGAGCCACTGCAAAGAAAACAACTAACTGTGGAACATCTTGTAGGAAGAATTTAAAGTTCATTTCCTAGTTAATCTGCTCAATTGAAGACAGATCCAAAAGAGAGGTAAGAATTGTATAAAACCCCAAACTTCTGCTGATGTGTTCATTTCTCCTTCCCATGTAGAGCTGTAACTTTTAAGGTGAGTGGCAAGTGCAATAAGAGTGTTAAAATAAATAACAGGAACCCTGTTGAAACACATCCCAAACACTGCTGGCCACAGCAGCTAAAACAAAACTTTATAAATAAATTAAAAAAAAATTAACCAGCCCATGCTTACAAGGCTTGGTCAAACAAATATGAAACCCAATTCTTAGAATACAGTTCAGTCTTTATTCTTGAAAAGAGATCTCATTCTAGTCACAGCAAGTAGGGTTTTTTCCCTAATTGAATTTATTATTGTTGTATCCTTTCCTCCATCCCATACCCTCACCTCCCCCAAACTCTGATTTTAATTAGTGCTTTTACAATTTAAGAGCTTAAGTATCAGTTCAGGGAATCTCTACAAACTGTTTGGGAATTATTTCATAAAATCTCTTATACAACTAGTTTTCAGATCTTAATGAAGTCTGTCAGCTTTCTGGTGCAGAACAGCATTATGCATTTTCTGGACCAAGGACAAGGGACATTATTAATTGATGACTGCTGTAATGTAATCCCATTCAAACAGGTGGTGGGTGGACTGGAACAACAGCATTCTTCCAGCTTTTTTGGAAAAAAGAGATTTTCCACAAGAGCAAAGTGGTAATGCAATTGTATCACAGAGCTCAAAATAATTGGAATACTGACAAAAAAAAAACTCTTGTCTATGTAACAAGGGAGGGGTATATTTTTGGCTGCAGGAAAAAGAAAACACACTCTTAAGATGCTGGAAAAAATAAAGACTGCTTGATTGTGAAGAAAAAGCCAGACTGAGAGAGTGTCACTTCAGAAGTTATCTGCAGCTCCTTCTGTTGGGAGAAAAGGCACTGACCTAATTCCCATGGAAACAATTGAGATTTCCATACCTTGTTTTGGTCTGGATCCACATACATTTGTGTTGTCCTGACAGGAACTGTATTAGTAGTATTTACAGGCTTTGCCTTTTGGCCATATTATTACCATCTTCCCAACACTCACCCCGGAGCTAAGAAACTGCTGTCCTATTGCCCAAACTCCACAGCTGTTTCAGTGCAGCCTCTAGGGAGTGCTCAAGTTCTGATTTTTACCTGCTTACCTGCAGGGACTGCTGGCAGTTGTAGTGTTCAGAAAACACTAGGCCACAGGCAATGCCTGCACTCTGTTCAATTTGCAAACCAAAAAGACAAATCCCCTGTTTTACAATGCAGAGCACCAGCTAAACATCTACCAGTAGGATCATAAAGATTGTAAATTTGCATTCCAGGCTTTGTGCTTTTCATCTAGTTTGAAAACATTATTCACGAGATCACAACAGGCAAGTTTCTCATATTCTCAATTTTTATTATTATAAATACTATATTGGAACAGAAAGGATGGTGCTGCACATCTGCTTCCTTCTGCTGCTATTTGGCATCTTCCTTCTTGGCTCCTGCTTCTATTTTCAGGGGTTCTGGAGCTGGACGATAGGCAGGAAATGCCTCCCATGGGCTATTCAGATCGAACTTGCGAAATTCCTGAGCTAGCTCCACAGGCTCTGCCACCACCCGTTTGACTTCATCATCATACCTCACCTGCAACAGCACAAAGGACACAGGCCAGTCATCTGCACCCTGCTCCTGCAGCATGTCTGCTGAGCACAGCGAGCCAGTAATGACCCAGACCACCCTCTGTGCAGACAACTCTGCTTACCCACGGGAAAACCACAGGCCCACAGGCCTCTGACACAGCTTCAGTTCTCATTACTTAACAAGAGCTCTCTAGATGCTACTGAGATCTCCAGAGTGTCCAAGAAAACCCTCCTCTTTGCTTTGCTGCCATGCCCCTCAGGTGTCTGACTACGGATCCAGAATTAGGAGCACCCACCCTAACAGTTCACATGAAGTTCCATGCAATAGCACATTTAATATGAAATTTGACACAGGGATTCTTCCTGAGTCACTGAAATATGATGGGCCGTCCTGGGCCTGCATGGCTGAGGACCACACTCATGAATCTTTATAACATGGCATTTGTGTGGCTTTAATTGTTCTAATTTTTTGCATAACACTCAGAACAAGGGGAGAAAAAGAAGACAACCAGGATGGAATACCAGCTGAGTACCAGACACTTCTGACTGGCTTGCTTTATCCTCACTGTGCCAGTCCAGATCTCTGAACTCTAGCTGAGGAGATGCTGCCTTATCCTTGCTTGCAGGATTTTGTTATTTCTACATTTCTTAAAACAGCCTCTTTTTTTGCAGAACTTCACTGTTTCCTTCTGAGACTCAACTCAGTCTTAACACTGCACCAAATACACCTTCTTCTACAGGGCAGTCATTTGAAACTAGACAGATGCTCCCATTTCACCTGTGGCTGACATAGAGAGGTAAATGGTAAACAGCAAGAGTCACTTTAATCAGAGCTTCATAATCTGGGCCTACAAACACACAACAAAGTGAAGTTCTAATTGAGTCAAGAATGGTTCAGTTCTTTATCCTTCTAGACAGCTCAGTTTTGCAGTGGAAACTTTAACCTTCCAGAAAATGTGCTGAAAGCAGAAACACTTCCTCTGCCTGGCAAGTATCTTTGCTATACAGCAGATAACATTTGTTCCATTTCTCCAGCCTTAGGATGATATTCTGTGTGATAATTCAAATTTCCATGCAGATTTATGCAACTCCTCTGGAATACAGATAAGTGATTGTAAAGCAGTCGCATCTTTGTACTGGAACTCAGAAAAGAGCATTGGAGAGACGTGGTAACTGTAAACATGACTGTATCTCCTACCTCCACATAACCAGAGAGTGGGAAGTCCTTCCGGAATGGATGGCCCTCAAACCCATAATCTGTGAGGATTCGTCTTAGATCAGGGTGGTTGGCAAAGAAAACACCATACATGTCCCAAACCTAAATGAAAGGAACACAAGTTCAATACAAGTTGAATTGTATTTGAAAAAAAACCAAAAACCTGCATGTGTTATGTCCATAAAATTTCAGTTATGTGCTTGGCTTTGTACAGTGCCAGCAAAACTGATGCAAGAATTCATTCAAAAGTAAATCAAACACCATTTTATCTCCTACTCTGTAAAGGCAGCCAGGGAAACACTTCTCTTTTTTCCTGAGGGCGTTGGGGAATCACTTAAATTGGGAAAATACAGCCTCTCTCCACAAAGACTGTTCCTGAGCACACCAGCACTCACCTCTCTTTCATACCAGTTTGCTGCCTTGTGCACAGGCACTGCTGAGTCGACAGGTGTCAGCTCATCGGTGTACGTCTTCACGCGGATCCGGCTGTTGAACCGCAGCGACAAGAGGTTGTACACAATCTGAACCAGAGAACAGGCAGCATTTATGGATCTCCCTGCACCACACCACTGCCTAAGCAAAGCCACACAAGGACTATTTCAAATATTCTTTATGAGCAGGATCGTGTTCAGCTCTTCAGAGCTGGCCACTAAAAGACACTCCTACAACTGAGGTTCCAACAGCTTATCACTTTGGTGCTTAGAAGTGTGACGAAAGCTATGAGAGACTTAGACATCATGGCTGATGACAAAGAAGTAAAGACATACTAAAAAGAGAGACTACTGGAGGGATGGAAATACTTGACAATGAATGCTCTCTCAAAGAAAGTGGCCATCAATCACTCTTGCAATTACTACCAGCGGGAGAAAGCTAAGAAAAAGAACACTTAATTTTCAGCAAGTGAGTTGGACACCGGGAAACATTTCCAACATCTATGGTGATGAAGTCTAGTACAAAAGCTGTTTATGACATACTGCAAGCAGACTGAAAAGAAAATCCAAAAAAATTATAAGGAATTTTAAAGCCTTGTTTGATACTGCCTTGGTGACTGGAAAAGATGAATAAATTAGGGTCTATATTTCTATGAATCTACTACCTTGATTTTTGAAAGAAAAATATTGAATTAAAAAAAATTTTCCACTTCTTCAGCAACTGGAGGCCTTTGACTTAAAGAATTCTATCTACAACTCTTGAAACTTTTTTCTCACTGCCAGGAACCAAAGAAAGTGGTCAGAGCTGCAACAGCACCCCCAGCCATCAGCACTTGTGAAGCCCTCCAAGCACTGCAGCTGTGAGCAGTTCCTACCTCAAAGCGGTACTGCCGAGATGGGACATCAACAGCAGTCAGGTCTGCCAAAGATTTGAACTGGGCATTGGTGTGATCACGAAGGAAAGTCAGGACAGGAATGATCCCATCTGGATGGATCAGAAGCTCCAGCTCATTGAAACAGGTCACCTGATGAAAACAGAACTGTGCATGAGTACAAACACCAGCAGGACCGAACGTGATGCTGATTTCAGCAGAACACTCCAACAAAGAGACACAGCAGACTCAAAAAGGCATCAGATCAAGGGGCTTAAAAACAGCAGTACTTCTCATGGAATTTTGACCATTTTTCTTTCCCAAAACAACTTCTCTGATCAGGTAACAAAAAAGTGGTGTGTTCACTGGATCCTGTCCCGCCCCAAGAACAATTTCTTGAAAAGCACCTACCTGTACTTGCTGGATATACTTGGGCAGAATCTCAGCCACATACTCCCCAAAAGCACATAGCTGCTTCTGCTCTACTTCATTTTTTGGTCTGACAGTAGCTAAGGAGAAAAATAAAGTTTCCAAGATTATGACAAGGAATACAAAAAGCTAGAGAAAGAAGAGTAGTAACTCCCTTTAACCAGTCTAGCTGTTTGTCAGAAACTACGTTATAGCAACGTACTTGTGTTACACAGAAGGTGGAACTAAACACTTTGATAACAAAGGGAATTTGTGCCAGTGCTAAACTTTTGTCAACTCTGAAGAGCAGCATGAATTGTTCAACAAGATGATGGAAAAGTAAACAGTCAGAGGAAAAAGAGGGCAGCAGAGATGATAGAAGAAACCACTCATGTCATTCAGCCTGGGTCTAGAAAGGGCCTTGTTTTCTGGGTTTGCTGGATGTGTCAACATCTAAGCAAGCCCCTCGTAATCAAAAACTATTGGAACTTACGTTGTTGGGGTGGGTTTTTTCATTGTTACGACAAAAGCCATTAAAGATCAGGGAGATGAGGGGCTAGGATGCTGGTGCCCAGGCACAGCTTAGCACAGAAAAAGCAGGCTTGGCCCTGCATCTGAGAGGATGCACACAGGAACGCAA